CTTCTGGGCCAGGAACAGCAGAACTCAGTACCTTGGTCTGGTGGTCTGGTGTCCTCTGCATCTTTGTAGTGTGGAACCAGGTGGCTGCCTGTCTGCAGCGGGGTGATTCAGTGTCTTCCGCATGACTCAGGACCGCTGTAGGGCGTGCACAGATCTGCCTGTCTGCAGTGGGCTGATTCTGCATGTTCTGTGCAACTCAGGACCTTGGTAGGGCATGGGCAGATGTGCCTTTCTGCAGCGGGCTGATTCGGCATGCTCTGTGAAACTTAGGACCTCCGTAGTGAGTGAACAGACCTGCCTGTCTGCTGTGAGGTGATTTGGTGCTTTCTGCATGACCCCTTTGTACCTTTCAACCAGCTCATGAGTAAAGCAAATTAATCATCTCTATCTCTACAAAAGCATCTACCTAGAGAAAAATGATTGGTAGTTATAGTCACATATTGGAAATTTGAAAAAAGTAGAATTTCTGACTTTTATTATCCAGTATTTTATAATATGCAGCCTGTTTATGTTTTGAGAACTTATTTTAAATTTATAAAACATACTCTTTCTGAATTTTTCTCAAATATAATAATTATTAATATTTACCACTATTTCCTTTTTAACTTTTGATGATAGAGAGTTAAGTTCCGAGTACCTATAATGTACATATTATTAAACTAAATATAATCTGAAAAAATAAACTTTACATCAAAGAACATAAAATCAATGACAACATAACATAAATAATATATGTATTGAATTATCAAAATGCCAGGAATTCAAACCCAACTTGAAAGTAATTAATAACTGACCTGTTTTGAAGACATCTTCATTGTTATTTATAATTTTTTATAAAATAGTTATAATAAAATTATGCAATAGATGTCCATAGTCAGTAGAAATTTGAAAGAACTGGTCTTTTAAACCTCACTCTATTGTAAAAATCACAGCTTATTACTTTCCTATTATAAGAAACTATCCAAGAGTAGTTTATTCTCTCTTTAAGCAACATGGAGACATTCCCTTTGATATGAAAGTGTAAATAATACTTGCAGAGCTTGAAAATATTGGAAGATCTTTGTGCTGCAATATATTTTTTCTCCTTCTTCAAGAAGGGTTTTTGGCCTGTGAGGTACTGGATTGGTTGATGAAGGTGACACTGATAAACTCTAAAAGTACTTTCCTGGTGGTGCTTGTTTCATGCCTTCAGTTTTTAAAGACTGACTGTAAAATATTTTTCAAAGATTATACAAAATAATCATCTTTAATATTAATTCAACTTTTTATATATGAAAATCTCTAGTGAGTATGGGCTAGAACAGGAGAGAAATTAGAGGGAGTTAGTAAATTTCCAACAGAAAGCTGAGCACATACAAGGCATATACAATATATGCAAGAATTTAATGTGTAAATCAATGAGTCCTAGGAAATAAGACATTAGAGAAAGACTTCTTTACTCACAGCTCTGCATGCTGAGGCCAAACCACATGCACTGATCAAATCTGGCTGGTTTTCTGTTTATAGCTGATAAGGATTTGAGGCACCCTCCCTATGGCTTACCCAACAGCACCAGCTCTGGGTACTGTGTTTAAAGACCAGGAACTCTGCCTTGTTTGTGCACGTGTGTATGTTCCATTGTGTTCCTTATTGCTTTCCTCATGAATGATCTGTTCCCTCTTAGATGTAAGCTGTGGTGAGAACCTCTTTATGTCAAGTGCTCCTTCTTCATGGTCATCTGCAATCCAAGGATGGTATGATGACAGAAGAAATTTTATCTTCAATGTAGGGCCAAAGACACCTAGTGCAATAACTGGATGCTATACCCAAGTAAGAAAAACCAATGAATTATCCTCTGTCCCAAATAACCTAACAGAAAATCCTGTCTAAATTTTGATTGATTCCAAAATGACATTTGAGGGAAAATTTTCTGTGGATGTAGAGCAGTTTCAGCATTTTTGGGGTATTTGAACTATCATTTCTTAATAGCCTGTAGGCTCTTGGTAAAGAAATACATTTTGGATTTCTTTAATAATCTAAAAGAATAAAGGAGTGAATATAGAGTGAAATGTAATATTTTTAATTTTTTCATTAGATTCAATAATTTAACTATATATAAGGCACATAGAAGCAGAGTACCTTGTGACATTCTTTTTGTTACATTTATATTCCTCTATATGCTCTCATATCTTCCCTTGTGAGTGTGCAGGTTGCTTGATACTCCTTTTTCCATATTGGATGTGGAATTGCCCACTGTCCTAACAACCAAACTTTAGGATACTTTATGGTTTGCCATTACTGTCCTGTGTAAGTATATATTTTAGAGTTTACCATCAATAATACCAAAAGCAATTTAATATTCTTCATATAAGAAAAAAAACACAAAGCATATTTTAGAAAAGGGTGAGAAATAAATGTTTAGAAAGGTTTTATAATATGGAGGCTATTTATCCAAATTCTTAGAAAGATGAGTTTCTCAGTTACAAGGATAATATTCAGAAGCTCTTTCCTTTTGACTAAAATAATTTGTTTTCCCTCAATTGCTGGTATGTAGACTCAGGATTAACCTGTGAGATCCATGCAGTGTGTAGTTTTCTAGATTTTCATTGTCTAAATCACACAGTAGAAAATGAAATGTTGTGTTAGACCAACGCAAATGAGTAATGACTCATTTTAGTGATTCTACTAGCTCCTATTCCAATGTTCATACTCTTGTTTAATTAAATTGTTACTTTTTTCATTAAGAAATAATGAAATCTTTTAAATAGTTTTATAAAATTTTATATTTCAAAACTCAAAAAATATAACTCCTTAAACTTTTGCATCTCAGAATTTATTACAAAATTCTCTGAAGAATACATTAATTCAGCTCTTGATTTATAGCCAGAAATCCATCCTTTCTCAAAACATGTTTAAACTTTCCTCAAAAATATTCTACTGATGTAATGAATATATATTAACAATCTATTTGTTAGTTTTAATTTATTTTCCATACATGAAATTTTTTACCATTAGTGGCACAGGGTCTCACAGAACCAAGCAAGCCTCTTTTTCTCCCTCCCTCCTTCTCTCTCTCTCTCTCTCTCTCTCTCTCTCTCTCTCTCTCTTTCTCTCTCTCTCTGTCTTGAGACAGGGTCTCACTTTGTAGTTCATGTTGGCCTTGAACTAATGATATATACCAGGTTGGCCTTGAACTCGTGGGGATCCTCTTTCCTCAACTTCCCAAAAGGGTAGGATTACAGGGGTGCACCACTACACCCAGCTACTAAGCTTCTTACATGATTCACTTTGAGATTGTAGATAACCCAGATGTGGAGTTTCAGTTTTAGAATTTTTGACTTCATTTTTCAGCAAGTTTTATTGTTGCTAAATAAAAGGAATTGAAAAACCCTATCAGAATAATTTAAGTGCCTACTTGGCCAAAAGATGAGTACATCTGGAGTCTGGAATCTGAAGTGAGAGTTGAATGGAAAATAAAGGAAAAGAGAGAGAACTTCTACAATACCTTCACATTTATTTCACAATTTTATTTTTTTTCTTAAATTCTTTTATTGGTACATTGTAGGTATACAACACATTTACATTTCTCATTGGAACTTGTACCTTTACATGATGCATCCTGGTTCTTATTTTTTCCCCATTCCTAGCCCTCCCTTCACCCCCTCCACCCTTCCCTATTTACAAAGACTTT